TGTTTTGTTTTTGTTTGCCTATGACTGGTACATGACTCAATGGCAAAAGTTGAAGCCTGGATTGGAAGAGCCTTGCCTTTATTCTATGGACAATAAAAAGGCAAATAATTAATCAAGGATGATGAAAAAATCCAATAGAGGTTTAAGTAAAGTGAGACAAAACCTAATGTATTGTGAGTGATAGGCAAGAGAAAGATCAAGTCTGTAAGACCAACTCAGGGTCATTTCAAAGTTTAAAGGCTTGAACTGTCGTCAGTGCTGCTGGGACAACTGTGTTGTCAAAAGACAACACAGATGATGGCAAGATTTATTCACTTGATGAAAAGCCATGTGTATTTGTGTATAAGCCTGCTTTGTGAGCTCAGTGAACTCTGTCCAGTCAGATTTATAAAACAAAGTATTAAAAACCAAACTTGTAGAGAAAAGTACATGTTGTCCATAAGAGGAAATTTTCAAAAGTAAAGATCGAGCATTCCTCTTTCTTAGATCCAATGAGGAACAAATAACTGTTTCCCAACAAACTTTCTCCTCCTTAAGGGACAGCCAGTTAAGGAAAAGGTAAAAGAGAAGTATTTGAAAGATACTATCTATACAGGGAAGCTTTCTGGAAATGGAATGGGGGCAGTAAACCATGCTTGTTAAGGGGTCAGAGTTGGGTTTTACTGAGAAAGGAAAAGCCAGGGAAAGGCTAAGGGGAGAAAAAGGAGCTCAGGAGGACTTTATTTGCACAAATAAGTATAAAAAAAGGAACCTACACATGGAAAGAGATTGTGAGTGTCAAGGCTGAGGGAGGCAGAGAACTGAAAAGTAATTAAGACAACCCTGAAAGACCAGACACAGGCTGTGGCATGAAGCTGTCGCAGATGACCATACAGGGACCAGCCCAGTGGCAGGCAGGGCTACTCTAGCTATTCTGGCCGTCGTGGGTTCTGTTCCTGAACAGCTTGACTTGATAAGGTTTAAATAGTAAAAAACTAAGATTCCAATAATTTTCATCTGAGATTTTTAAAAATAACATCCTTTTCTTGAAAAATGGAAACCTTTTGGTAACTATTCTCCATGATTTCCTGCATTTGCGTGAAAGCTAAAGGTTACTTTAAATATAAAGTTCATCTTACCAGAGCATCTGGAAGCCGATACAGTACGTGTATTTCAATTTCATATTTAGCAGTAGTAAAAAGTGTAATAGAGTAGATGGCACCAGGGAGCTGCCATTTCTCACACCTCCTAACAGCATTCTTGTTTCCTCTCACATATGTCACAATGAAAGAGCCAAACTTGAAACTTCTGCTCCTCCAGAGTCACTTAAAAATCATGTCTGGAGCACTCCTAGGCTGTGACAGACCACCCCTACTTCTAGCTACACCTCTGTAGTTTAGGAGAGGAGCAGTGAAATGATAGAAAATGAGTGTATATTTTTTCTGATGAAACTATGAGGCTTAAATTTACTGTACAAAAATTGATACAAGACATAGCCCATGATTTATTCAACCCCCTGATTTACTATGTAATGGAACCCATAAAACCCTAAACAACAGGTTTCATAGCTCTGGGTTGGTGAACACAGCAAGGCACTGGGAGGAGAGTAGAGAGGGTATCTCACTCAGTCTTCTGTCTGGCTGCTCTTGAGTTTCACCTAAGACAGTTAAGCTGGCTTAATAAGTCAAGTGTTTCCCAAGCCCTGGGAGCCGCCCTAGCACAAATTACTGAAGCAATTACAAGGAGCAGGACTGTGAAAACTGCCACCTTAGTGTAGGATGGTCAAAAGCATAGGTGGAAACTTGGCACCTAAGACTGCTCTCTAGAAATGGGCACAGTCTGGTAGCACTGAGACCTTTTACTTATAGGTTCTGATGCTAACTCGAGTAGACAGATACTGTCATAGAATGAACTATTAGACTAGCTGGTGCCCACAGTACACTGAAGAGCTCTTGGAGTGGGAAACTCTGCTCATTTGTTGTCTGAAGTCTGTGATGAGAATATGGAAAAAAGAATTTTCCCTTCAGCGTACAATATAAATTTTAACTCTTTTTAGATAGTTCACACTAGCCTGGAGAAATAGCCTTTCTTAACTGTATACTGAAGATACACAGGGTTCAAACGCTAATAAGAGGCAGCCTTCATAAAACCCGATACCAAAGGGGGAAAGGAGAAGTTTATAAAGATGATCACCAGCTGGTAGGACAGCAGGCAGAGAGGGTACCCTGTCTGCCTCCAACTGCAGGCTGAGGCTCACCCACATTTCCACTCAGAAACCAGTTCCCGGTGCAGGGCCAGAAGCTTCAGGAAGTCCCCAGTTCCACAGTGGGGGGCTCGGTCCGAGCTGTGCTGCCTGCTGGGCCTCTTCCCTGTCACCTCACAGGAAAACTCTCCCTATTTCTTGACCTGTTGACTTCATTCCATCTCATTTTCTTCAAGTCATGATCCACTGTTATCTCATTTACTACACAAATTCAATTATTTCTTCCTAGGCAATTTTAGTCTATAGCAGGTTCACTTCTCTGTATCCATTCCTGTTCTTTCAAACTTCTTTACCAGTAATGGAAAACTTTTATTTTGTTTGGGTTTAGTTTCATTTATGTGGTAAGAATATTTTTAAAATGAGGTCTCAGTCTTCAGCATACAATATAATACTATTTGACTGTGGTGCAATGCAGCGTGGCAGATATCTAGGACCTACTCATCTTACTTGATGGACTTCATGCCTACTGGTCAATAATTTCCCATTTCCTCTTTACTCCAGCCACTACTACCTTACCATCCTTCTGTGAACCTGACTATTCCAGACACTTCGCGTACGTGGAGTCAGAGTCTCTGCCTTACTATGACTGACTCACTATAATTAGCATAATGTTTTCAAAGTTCAGCCATGTTGTCACAATTGTAGAATTTCCTTTTTTAAAGGCTGAATAGCATTCTACTACAAGTATATACCATGTCTTCTCCTCCTCCTCCTTTCTTTCTCCTTTGCCTAAAATTGAGTCTTACTATGTTTGCCAGGCTGGTCTTGAACTCCTTGGTTCAAGTGATTCAAATGATTCTCCTGCCTCAGCCTCATGAGTATCTTCGGGTGTGGGCAGACCAACATGCCTTGCAGGTACTATGTATTTTTTTATCCATTCATTCATCTATGGACAGTTAGCCTATCTTCATAACTTGGCTGTGAATTGTGAATATTGTGGAAATGAACATAGAAGTGATCATATCTCGTCAAGATTCTAGTTTCAAGTATTAGTCTTGAAATCCATATCAGATTAGTGAATCATTTGGTAGATCTTCAAATTTTTAAAGAAACTCCACAGTTTTCCATATTGGCTGCTGTATTATGTACTCCTACAATGTGCACAGGATCCAATTTCTTCAAGCCTTTGCAACGCTTGTTTTTTGTTTTTTGAGAATAACCATCTTGACAGGTGTGAAGGCCTATTAGCATTTCTCTGATTAGTGGTGCTGAGCAATGACTTATACACCTGTCAGCCATTTCTCTATTTTGGAGAAATGTCTGTTATGCCTTTAGCCTATTTTTTAATCAGCTTAATAGTTTTTTTTTCGTCATTCAGTGGCAGGAGTTTCTTACATATTTTGGATTTTAACCGCTTATTAGACTGTGGTTTGCAAATATTTTCTCCCATTCTGTAAGTTACTTTTACACTCTGCCATTTAGTTTCATGCAGTTCACAGAAAATTTGACTGAACAGTTTCACATGTTTTTACTCATTCTAATATAAAAATTATTTTCATAGTGCTCACCATGGCCTGGTAATTGCCAAAAACAGTGAATTCTCTCACTTCTCAGCATCCTTCTTCTTCTTATTTTTTTATTTTTGTCTTTTGGAGACAAGGTCTCACTATGCAGTTTAGGCTGCCCTTGAACTCACTTTGTAGCCCAGGCTGGCCTCAAACTTCCAGCGATCCTCCTGCCTCAGTCTCTGGCGTGCTGGGATTACAGGCATGCACCACCATGGCTGGCTTTGCATCCTTCTCAACTACTTCCTTCTCCTTAAAACAGTCCCTTTCAAGACTATTCTATTTTGACTCTCTGGCTCCTCCTCCACCTCTGCCTTCAACTTCAATGTAATCCTGTCAGCATTTCACTTCTCACTCTGTGTCCTCCCAGTGTGCTTTCTTTCTCATTGCTACAACCATAGCTTGTGTGCCACTGATTCCCAGATCTGTATAACACTGCCCCTGACTTCTTGGTTCTGAACTAAAAGTCAGTATTTTTAGCTCTTTCAGTGTACCCTCCAGCTCTTTTATCACCCTAATTCTGCACACACAGAGCTAGACTATCGCCTCCTCATATCCACTTAAATTTGGCACCCTTCTTTTCCTTACACTGGTATTGTCATTAAGTTCTATTCATTGTAACTCGGAATGTCATTTTGCTATAATAATGCCTATTTGCTACTCTACCACTATGACTTGTTAGCCTCTCATGTGGGACCAGGAGTTGGTTAATATGAGCTCTGGGAATCACATCACTGGCTTTTATTTTTTTAAAAAAAAAAATCTTAGGGGGCTGGAGGTTTAGCTCAGCGGCATAAGCACCTGCCTTGGAAGCAGGCAGTCGTGAGTTCGATCCCCGGTACCGATAAAAACGAAAAAGCCAAAAAAAAAAAAAGAAAAAAAATCTTAGCAGCTGTGTTCACTGGGCAAGTTATTTCACCTCTGAACTCCAAAACTCTTGACCAATCTGCTCACTGTTTAGCTTACATGCACCCAGTACCATTCTCCAAGTCCACTACTAGTATACAATGTTCCCATTTAAAGGCACTGCCATTTTTAGTGTATGTAGAGAGCAAGCTCTATGATAGGAGTTCTCTCTTTGGCTGTTTTTTCAGTCTTTATATTACTCATCCCATACAGCAAGAAAGACTTTTTTTACATTCTTGAAAGCATCTTCAAGTTGTACCTTTTACCAAGTGAACACAAAATATGAATTGCCAGTGTAACAAATTTCATAGGATACAGTATTAATATGCACATAAATATTAACCTACCTTTGATATTGATTGAAATAGCAAGTAAATGGTTGGGAGCCAATTTCATCTTTCCAGTACTGTTGCCAATTCATGACATTTTCCAAGTTCTTCTGATTTTCTCTCTTGCAAGGAGGGATATAGGAACACTAACAAAATAAAACACAGAAAGTCAACATTATTCTATGGAAGGTTGAAACATAGTCCTTTTATCCTCAAAACCTTTGTTTTATCATAGAATACTGGTAGAGATTGATGGGAAGGTACAGATATAACGGGCAACCACTGTGCTGGTTAGAATTAAAGGACCATCTTGATTGCTATGAATGAGCTAAAGGTGTCACCACTATGCACCCTGGTTTTTCCAAGGCCGCTTATCAGCTCGTGACCTAACATTATGATTCTGAGACAGAGAAGTTCCAAGGAGCACTCTAGTCATCGTGCCCATGGGGCAACCTGCCAAAAAGTCATCTTAATGTGATTGAAACAGCTTGTCTGGGGCTGTCTAGAAGTACCCAGAGCCTTTAGCATCTTGCATTTGGCCCCAGAACTCAGTTCCTAGTACCTTCCCCCATTTGTTTTTTTAGAGAGGTGGTGTTATCTGCATAGTAAATCTAAATTAGAGATAATTTGAAATATAACCAAATTGAAATTACTATCTTATATTTTAAATTTCTAATTTGGTACAATGAAAAAAATTCCAAAGGTAAAAATACTTTCAGTGGTTAGGTTATATGGATATTTTATTTTATTTTGTTACTATTGGGATTGAACTCATGATCTCGCACTTGCCAGGCAGGCACTTGTGCCACTGAGCTAAATCCCCAGCCCCTATATGGACATTTTATAAACAATGAGTTATAATCTCATAGAAAATTAAAAGCATAACATGGCATACTATACAATAGATGAATATAAAAGAAATGTTGATTTTATCCCTAATTCCTATCTGTGGAACCTTGATAGTTTCCTCTTTAACTTTTAACTAACAAATCAGGTGTATAGTTTTTCTCTGGATATTGCTCTTAACTAAACTTAAACTTTCTTTTCTTACATTTGCGGGCCTGGGGATTTAGCTCAGTGGCATAAGTGCCTGCCTTGCGATTGTGAGTTTGATCCCCGGTACCGATAAAAAGGAAAAAGACAAAAAAAAAAAAAAAAAGATTCGCTTCTTACATTTGCTTGGACAAGAGAATCTAAAAAAAAAAAAATTCTTCTCAAATACAGAACTGATGTATTTTCCCAGCTGATAGTTTTCCTAGCCATCCACTGACAAACTAGTTCTCTTAAAGCGACTCAGTTACTCTAAGCAATGTACATTCAGCAACACGGCTCCTAACTCTAGAAGTTAAAATGAACCCTTACATTCTAGCAATTTTCTCCAATTCAGTCTTTTATAACCATGAAGATGTCAGCTTATATTTTTTGTTTACAATATGCTATCCACTCAGATGCTTAAGTGATCGAGCTTATGTACTTCTTACAACCTTCTAGTGATCTCCATTTTACAGATGATGAAATTCAGATTACTGTTACCTCCGTGACTAAAACTAGATTCTAGTGATTACCACACTTTACTCTCAGATGTATTACCAGGAGCAGAAAAAAAACTAATACATTAGATTTGAATTATTAGTCTGAGTCACATTGTTCTATTAAGATGTATAATGCTTCTTTTTATCTCCTGGAAAAATTCAAACTTTAGCATGAGGTTTGTAGTTCTTTCTGATATAATCCCTGCAGGCCTTCATCCTCACAATTCTAGGATACAGCCAAAAGAAGCACTTACTTCCCAAATCTGCCCTGTGTTATCACATCTACCTGTAGGAAACAGGCTTTTTATCTACTTTTAATGCTCTTTTTCCTTCTTTCAAGAGTCAGGTCTGGTGTTACCTGTTGGGGAGCCTGCTCTTGCCTGTTCCATTATTACACTGTCCTTTATGCTGCCACGGGAACTGAACCCCCTATCACAGCCAGACTCACACAGCATTCACACACAGGCGTTTTAGGTTATCCTCCCCAGTTGGCTGCCAAGTAGAGAACATTTTTCTTTTTCTCTTTTCTGTACTTCATATTAAGAGCTATGTCTGGTACTGGTGAAGTTTCAGAAATGTTGGCTGAATGAGTTAACACTCTTAGATACATTTTTATTCCTAATGATGAAGCTATTTTTAGTACTTCAATCTTTTAAAAAGACATCAACAATATAAATGCATTTAAACTTTTAGCAAACTTTGTTATTTGTATTATACAAAACATACGTATGCATCTATTATATTTGCAGTGTTATAGTTTTAATAACTTAATCACTGAATACTTATCTTGTGCACATATTGCTTCACTTCTATTACTGACAGCATTTAAAACTAAAATTTTCTATGAAATTAAAAATTCTGAGTTCCTTCTAAGCTGCAGTTAGACTCAGAAGCAAGGAAGACTATTTTATGGGGCTTCAGTCTGGGTTTGTAAAGTATCTGTCTGCCTAACTGACCTTTTCTGGATTTTGTTTTTCTAATCTGTAAAATCTCAAAATAATTTCTAGCTCCACAATTCTATAATTCTGTTCTTGGTAACATAACAAGGAAAAATCCACCATAAGGCAGAACTACAAACAGTGGTGCAGAATTTTTACCAGGAGGGATTCTAACCACTGGGGAGCAGGCTAAGAAGCCTAAACCCACCACTCCAGCTAGCCAGGAGGGTCAATGTGGTAGGTCCCTCCTTGGGAACTTTACTTTTCTTAGGAGAATATGCATAAAGGGACCATGATTTTCCTATTGTTCATTTCGTACAATGTGTTGGATATTTCCTTTCTATTAAAATATTTTTTTCTGCACAATTTATAAAGTCTGAAATGGTGCTAACTTACTGTACTCTTTCTAGAAAGGAGAAATTTCCACTTTGGAGCACAGATCCTGTTGGGTATGGACATCTAAAACCTTATCAGATTCCTTTTAGCAATGAGTTTACTTGACAGAAGAGACAGACTAAATATTTTAGGAAATAACAACAACCAAATGTGATCAAAGCATATTTAAAGTTTTACAAATTAACAGTTTGAATTCTTTATTATTTGGGAAGAAATGAGTATAAAAGAAATACTTTCACCAAATCTCAAATCTTAAGATTTACCAGGAGAATCACACCTACGTGTTTTTGAAACAGGCAAAAACTTTCAGTAAGTATAAAATATTTTGTGTTAAGGTTTCATTTGGAATGAAAGAAATGTTTCTTGCTTTTAGGAAAAAATGAGCTAATGTGAAAGAATTTGGAAAGCAAAGTACTTTTTTATATTGTATAAAATAAATGAGATTAAAATTCAAATTTTTTTATGGATTGCATTTTTCCCAAAGAGTATCATAGCTTAAATAATAATCACATAATATTCTAACAATTTTGTAAAGCTCACCTTGTTTTGCAAGGAAACAATTTCAAAGTCTAAATTTTTTGTTCTTAACAATCACTTTCTCAAATCTTTTGTTTTGCTTTTTTTTATAGTGTTTTTTTTTTTGTTTTGTTTTGTTTTTTTTGTCTTTTTCATTTTTATCGGTACCGGGGATCAAACTCACGACCGCCTGCTTGCAAGGCAGGTGCTTATGCTGCTGAGCTAAATCCCCAGCCCTTTTTTGTAGTTTTTTGAGACAGGATATCACTGTATAGTCCAGGGCTGGCCTCAAATTCCTGGCAATCCTCCTGCTTCAGCCACATGTAAGTGCTGGAATGCAAGCTTGTGCCACCACATCCAGACATTTCTTAAAGCTTTTTTTTTTTTGGTGGTGCAGGGGATCGAACTTATGATCTTGTGCTTATATCACTGAGCTAAATCCCTGGCCCAAAAATCTTGATTCTTAATGTCTCTGAATTTTCTATGAAGCCTGTCTTAGATTCTCTATACACTTTTCTCACTTACAATCAAGACTGCTAGAATTTAACCATAACACTGGAAATGAAGATTTAAAGGAACATTCCTGGAAAAAGAATTAGGGGATTCAGTCATACAAATTCCTTTTTTTTTTTCTCTCTAGGTATTCAAGCCAGATGGTTTTCCTGGCTCTGTAAAAGGCTCTCCATGATTCCTTCTCCTTTGGGGAGCCAGAAATAATAATCTCTGTAGGATTATCACCATCGTGGCTAACATTTATTGTCTATATGGTAAGCAACTCATTAATCCATATAAATATTATAATCACTCTCACTGCATAAATGAGGCAACAGAGGAACAGAGAGGTTTAAGAAATTTTCCTCAGATCACAATGGCAAATGGGGAATTCAGACTACAGCAGGTTCTTAACACTGTTCCACAGTACTGTCCACATTTCCAGGTGGTAGGGCTTTTCTGTGTTGTCTTTAGAGATCCCTGATTGAGGTTAAGGAGGTGCCCTGCCCCTTGTAAACCTCCTGGAGGCCAGTGTAGTGCTTCCATAGGAATGGGATTGATATAATTCAGATGACTGATGAGCTGAAGCAGAAGGTGCAGCCTTCTGCATTCCTTTATGTCCTCAGAAAATGAACTGTAAGTTTTATTTGTGCCTTCCTGTCCTGATTCGGCTTCAGGATTGATTTCTGGAGCCATGGATGAAATTTTGCTTAGGTGAATTTATGGCTGTAATGCCTTTGATCATGGAGGACAATACGCATTTCCTTGGAGAAACATCCCCATAATTTCTGACCTATTTTGTTTTTACTTGTAAAGTCAACACTGTTTTCACTTCTAATATCCTCACCCAAATACCTCCACTAGAATCTGTGCTGTTTGCCTCCTGAATTTATATAAGACCATTTTCTTTAAAAAGCTGAGAGGAAAAAAAAGCAAAAAATACATTCATGAACAAAGTTGATGGAACTGAGTGAGCTATTCTGAATACAAATACATAAAGGCTTCCAGTGAGTTTATTAAGAAACATTATGATCAATTGACACGAAATGTTTGATTACATACTTTTTACTTATTTTTTCATTATCTTTATTTTAGGATTTATCAAGATTTATAATAGCACTTTTTCAGCCTACCACAATGGATTTATATTTTAGTAGAAGCTTTCTTGAATAGGTACTTTGTCATAAATATCTTGAGGACTGCATTTCAATTATGTGGGCAGAGTAGGCAGAATTCACTTTCTTCTTTTACTGAGTCATTTAAAAATATATT